AAAATGTTTAAAAAAATGTAAATTGAAAAATAAGTTAAAAAATAAAGTTATTGCAAAATAAATAAAAAAATTTGTAAAAAAAAAACTAATAAAAAAAGCACAACCCCTCCCTCCCCCCACATAACATACACATATTGTGGTGTACGCCATGCACATGCGCTGCAGTGTGTTGTTAGAACGCATCAGTGCATGATTTTTTAAATGTATTTTCTTCATGGCAAAGCTTTGTGAAACATTGCCGTGTGTTGTGATACCTTGTGTTGCAATTAAATATACGCCTGTATCATTTTATCACAAAACAAACACCAACACAGCGTAAAAACTAAAAGGCGCAATTAGAAATTTGCAAATATTTGTTATTTATTTTGGGGGTAGCAACGCAGCAGTTGAAAATCTAATCAATGGGAAAATTGCAAAAATGGCATGGCCAGCTGAATTGAAAAATATTTCGGAGGGCTTGGCAGCGAAAGGGTTAAAGATGAGGAATAATGGTCTTGCTATAATCTGGCTGAGTTCTTTAAGTACCTTGGGGTGCAGGTTATCTAGTCCTAATGATTTTTTTGCATTAAGGTTTTCAAGTCTTTGTTGAACCCCAGCTACTGTCAACCACTGCAGTATTTTACGGACTGAGCTACTCACCTTATCTCCATTAAACTCGTCTTGTTCCTGAGGGTATACGAAGGAGAAAAATTAATTCAATAATTTAGCCTTCTCCCTATCGTTTGTGATTAATCTCCCTTTTCCAATCATTATTTGGCCAATTTGTTTTTTTCTTACCCTTTTACCGTTGTATATTGGAAGAATTTGTTGGGGTACTTTTTACTGACTGTGGCGATATGCTTCTCGTAAGCTATTTTAGCTGCCCGGATGTAAATCTCTTATTGCATTCCTTGTAGCTCTGGAATGCCAATGCAGTCCCTTCCATCCATTGTATTTTATAAATGCTACCTTCTTGTCTTTGATGTGGTGTCTTACTGTTTTATTTAACTATGCAGGCTTAGTTCTTGATCTTTTATTTTTGTTACCCGATGGTATGCACTTGGTGATAGCGTTATGTAATGTATTCTTAAAACATTCCCACATCTCGTCAGTGTTCAGTGTTAGAAAAAAGTTGTCTCATTTAGTGTCACGTACTAGGTGACGCAGCTTATCAAAGTTTGCCTTTCTGAAATTGTGTCTTGTCAAACCAACACACTTCTCTTTTCTGTACCCAACATTAAAACTAATCATCCTGTGATCATGATTCCCCAATGTATCCCTAATCGCTATGTCTGCAACTACTGTATGTTCGCATTATTGGAGAGGATTAAATCTAGTGCAGCATTCTTCCTGGTTGGGACATCAACCATCTGATCCAAGAAATTGTCCTGCAACAGGTTCAGAAAACGGCCAGCTTTTATAGAATGAGAGGTTCCATTTGACCAATCAATCTTCGAATAGCAGGCTAAAATATATTTTTCATTGAACTTCACTGTGCTGCTCTGGGGTGCCAACCTGATGTCTCCAGCAGAGGTGGCTGTGCGGGGTCTCGAGAGCTGTGTGGGGTTTCAGGTGGCTGTGCTGGGTATCAGGAGGCTGTGTATGGTCTATGATGGGCTGTGCACGGTCTCACCAGGGGTACCAGTCGGTCTCGCAGTCAGCGAGTTTTCACAGGATGGAGGAGGAGACTTGCTGCCAGCACTGTAAACAGGTGCCGCAACTCACTGGAAGGCTGCCGGGACCTCGGCAGCCTTCCTGTGAATGGCGGTGCTTGTTTACAGCGCCAGCTTCAGTTTAAATATTTAAAGCGCTGGTATTGGCGCTTAGTATCGGGGCATTTTCACAAGTACAAGTTCTCATGAAAATGCCCAGTATTGGCATCGATACCGGTATTGGTGCATCCCTAGGAAAAACCTGTTGACAGCACTTTTGTTTGTGGTGTTTCTGAAATAGAGGGGTAAGAATACTCTATATACAATTAGAACAATATTATTCTGCACTCCCGTTGAGCAGACTTCCTTGGTGTCCAGGTGACAATGAAATTCCAGCTTCCCTTAAGACCCACTGTTGGAATGTACAACATTTTCATGTCCTAAATCTGCTGAACATCTATCTTCATATATTGAATCTAAATAAGATCAAAAGAGCCAAAAGGAGCCAGCTGTGTTGTAGAAGTGCTCTTCATCCCCGCAGGAGGTATGGCAAGGGAAGGTGATAAAGGTGAAATTCAATCACCTTGACAGGAAGGTCACGCATTGCACCCTGTGTTGTTGATGGGGGTTATATGCACATTGGGAAGACACCCTCAAGATATCCTGCATTGCATATGAAGGTGGCTGTTCATTATCTAAGGATAAGGTGTTGACCTAGGCTGAGAAATGACCTGCAGTACGATGGTGCTCCCTGCTGGAGGACTTCAGTGCATACTGACAAATATGAAGGAAGATGCGGATTGGCCGAAAGACCTATAAGGGACATATGGAATTCTGGGTAAAATGTTGATGTACATGTATGAATGGGTACTGTGTACTATAAAAGCCAGTGCTCAGCCATATTGCTCTCTCTCTCTGAGCCCAAGACATAGAACCAGAGGATGAACTTGCTACGTAAAGTATTCTCTTTATTGTCTTATTGTACTTAT